CCGAGAAATTTTACACAAGCACTCAGATGAATTTTTGCACAAATGCGTCGAAAGTACTAATGAATCTTTGCTGACATGTTTTGTCGGATGACCGCCAAATTAGCTAAAGCCTTATGGGGTTTGTAGAGGCAATCTGCCGATGGTTCAGTGTGCATGTTATACAACATGCGGTTTTATGTGCTTTCATCCAGTATTTGCTTAAAAGCTATAAATGGAGGAAGGTAACACGATGAATCAAAATGTGTCTGCTCTGCATACTCCATCTGCTCTCCTGCACTGTGCCCAGGGTACTAACGCAAGCTGGATAGTCAAACATTCTTCGTTATGTGCAATCTCATTTCTAGTGGACAATCTTTTATCTAATCAAGCAAAAGAGAGACAGAAGGCTTCCTTCACTAATTTCTTAAACAGCACACGACAAGTTTTCGGCTTTGATTTTGAAAATTAGTACTTTGACCAGCTGCAGCTCACAGCGTGCTTTTCTTCCTGTGCGCTTAGCAGTTAATCTCAATTACTTTGGCCAATGCTGCGTCGTCTGGTAATCAGCCTGCTGTTGATTCTGACGTTCATTTCGTCTCCTGAAAGGATTGTCAGTTCGCAGTTCTCGCGACAAATGTATCTGGCAGAACCTTGGTGGTTTCGAGGTGTCATCGACTGTACTAAACAACACTATTTCGTTGCAGAAGCCGCCGTTCCAAAACCATAATGAGGCACCCTACCAAACAGAAGCATAAATTTTGCAAAATTTTAAGGAGCATAAATTCACATAATTGAATGTAAACGAGGCCGGACTGAAATTTCTTGCAGGTATTATTCCTTCGCAAGCCGGCTGGAACAAAGGAGATTCGCAAAAATTGATGACCAATTTTGGTACACCACGAAATACACAGACGAAAATCAAAGCCGAAAATCTCCCGGTATTCTTTGTTTGCTCTTCAGTTTGATTTATTATTTTTTTTTTTGGTGGCAGGCACGCCACAATGGCAAATTGCACTAACTGGGTTCGACTCCGCAGTGAGACAATCAGTCCCTCTAAGATCCGTTCGTTGATTTCGACCAGGTGCTTGATTCAGTCTCGAAAGAAGAAGCGGCTAACAGTCTTGCCAGCACTGGTCGCTCTTGGGCTGTATTGCCACTTGGAAATTTTTAGTGATCTTTTACTTTTGAATTATTTTTATCACCAAAATTACCAGGACTGCCTCGGTAGCCAGTGTGAGTATTCCATGTTAGTGGTGTCACTGAGATGTTCCTACATGTCAGGGGCAGTTACTTCAGGCCCTCACTCTTGGGCTGCACCGCCTGTTCGATGCACACGCCTTACATCTTCGGGGGTCACTCGAGTGTTGCTTACTTTCTGGCGGACATCCCCATTAATGGGCAATGTCCATCAATTTTTGGCAAGGTAAATTGAATGCCCAGGACTACTGTAAAAAAAAAAAAAAATTGGAGCACAATGATTTTAAAGAATTCAAAATTTTTTGGTTAATTGATTGAATGGTCAGACGAAAATAATTTTTCCA